GCCAAGTCCGCCGCTGCCAAACGCACGGGTTCTAAAACCGAGCCGCCTCCATTGAGCCGCCCGCGCTCTTAGGCGCCGACGCAAGGAGCTGCCGCCGCCGTTCGGCGGTGCCCCTAAGACAGACATCCCCTCGTCAAAAAATCACGACGGTAGGTCTTTGACCGTCTCCTGCCCTTGGTTCTCATGATCGTCGCATGATCCGCGCACGTCTTTCTCACCACTCTCTCTCTCTCTCTGCGGGCTTCCTTGCCCGCTGTGGGCTCACATGTGACACGCGCGAGCGTGCCTGCCAAGCCCGAACTGACGAGTGGCACGGTTCGAACTTCATTGCCCGCTGCAGCCTAAGTTGCGACAAGCTCAAATCTGATCGCCCAGCCCAAGCCAACAAACAACATGGTACAACTCCACGGAATGTGTAAGCAACGCCAGCTGATGCGAAGCAGCCAGCTCAGCGGAAGCTAACAAAAAGATGTTTCAGCAACGCCAAGCAGCAAGCCCAAAGTGAAGCACCACGTGACTGCTGCTCTTGCGAACAAGTGGCACGCCTGGGCTACCATCTTGTGACAGCCTGCGCTAACAAGTGGCACGCCTCGTCTCCGTACCCAGCGACTAACTTGTGACGCGTCAGGACTTGTTAACTAACCCCAGTTAGAGGCAGCCGACATGCGGCTCACTTTTGGGGTACCCTCCCAGTTCGCACGATCTGCTCTCTCTGGGCCCCCATCTCCTCTTCGTGTCCCTCCTCTTTGTACTCGCGTTGTCGTTTTGGCTGAGACCAAGATGCGCGTGTTTCGTTCAGGAGCTACTGGAAGCGTTGCAAAACATTCCTTGCGCGAACCTTCAACAACAATCATCGCCATCACGTCACCAGGCCATCACATCATCACAACGTTTTGATTACCAACGTACTTACATACCGATGCGCTCACTTGCTTACGTGATTAGTTGCTTAGTTAGCTGACTTGCAAAATCGCTTTCGTGCTGACTTGCGTGCTGATTCTTGCTCACTTAGGAAACTGTCTCCTAAGTGGGGTCGCACCGGCTCGGTATTGTTATCCTTCTCCTTCTTTCTCGAGAATCGAGGAAGGATCGAGGATCAAGATTTCTGATCGTTTGTTTCGCCCGCGCGGGGACCCTGGAGGCCTCACCAAGATTTTCACGTTGCTTATGGTTGCAGTTTCACTGGGATGACACAGCCCATAGTCAAGTTTTAAAGCAATGGTGTACCACCATTGGAAGAGGCCTCACCACGACTGCCGAAACTGATAGTACTTCTTGCCATGGTGGAACAACCACGACTCACACGCCTAGAAAACTATGATTGTGGGCAGTTCGCAAAGCATGTTCATGTGGCAGGCGATCGGGCGAAACACATCTGCAACGAGACTCCAGCTTCAGAACCCATGCCGTCTTGCCTTACGTGCGTTGGCAAACTCGCGCTTGGAGGGAATATCAAGCATAAGACATGCCCTGGACAAGCTGGTCACCATGCAAACTATGCATGCATTCACACGTTTGCTTTAAAGACTACTTCAGAAAATGCCACTTTGATTCTGGTATCACCGCAGGGAGCATCCCAGGAACGCGGCAAAGGCCAACCTCCCAGGGGCGAAAAAGGGCACTGACTCGGTGGCCTGACCGGGCCCTCCCAGAAGACATGGCGAGCCACTGCGCATGCGTTCGAATGCGTACACATCTGCATGGCCACGCGCGTGCGGTCCGCGGGCGGGCGGGTGGCTGAGCGCACGCGTGCACACGTATGCGAGCTACCTCATTTCAACTATCCGTCGGCATGTATACAAAGCTGGCGATATATATAATGGCTATATATATATATATGAATATAGAGCATATCTCTCGATCAGTCTCTCTCTCTCTCTCTCTTCCAATCCCTATCGTAACGCATTTGTTCCTCGCTTCCCTCCCTCTTCCACTGGCCAGTTAGAGTAGAGAAATCCCTCCACTTCCGCTCCGGTCGCGTCTCCTTTGCCGATTCGACCCCTGCTGGCGTCATTGATATCAGCGTCAGTCAAGTTCATGTGCACATACAGATACACAAGCATAAACACAGGTATACCCGTATGTATACATGTGCAGGCATGTCACTGGTCATATGATAATCACACATAGATTATTTACTATCACACGTTTTCCCGACCCTCGATGATCACCCCATTTCCGTCGTTGTCCACGAGCTTGAACAGCATCGGAATGTCATGAGCCGTGTAGCCCCACCTCCCGCTGTCCCCTTCGTGGCACCACCTTCTCCTGCTTGCCCCTGCGAGCACGGCAGCGAATAAGCAACAGCAAGAACAACAGACAACAAACGCCTCCGCGTGCCACGACTTGTTTCACCAACCTGTGGAGGAAGTGCAATGTCAGCTTCCACGGTCTGAGGCAGGCAAAAAGCATGACGACAGCGCGTGGACCCCGACCAGACAGAAGGGGACTGGCTACGGGGGGGGGCACCGAGCTGGAGTGGACGACGCATCGCCGATACATCCGTGATACGCCTCCGACAGCGCCTCCGCATATAGGAGCCCACAAAGGAGCCCACAAAAGACGTACGCACCCATCCATGCACATGAACACGGCCCCTCGATCCGCGAGACTGTCCGCGTGATACGAACATTCGCGCAATGCGTACTCTCGATACCAACGTGGATTCATGTTCGTGTACGTCCTTCTTTCGCTCCTGACTAAAAGGCGATCGAGTGGCGAAAGAGGGTCGATACATCCCCCCATGAGCCTGTCCCCCCCCCCCCCTTGCGTTGTCCCTGGTGGCCAGTGCTGTTTCATTTTTTTCCCGACGAGCAGTGCTCTGGCAGTCCTGGTGGCGGCCAGACTGTGGCGGCACAGTAGCGCCAGGCAGGGAATAGGCACGCAAGCTGGGGCCCAGAAGGAGGCGATAGGCGAGAGGAGGGGGAGGAGGACGACGAGGACGAGGAGGAGGAGGACGAGGAGGCGAAAGAGGAGGACGAAGAAAAGGAGGTGGAGGAGGAAGGATAAGGAGGAGGAGGAGGAGGAGGAGGAGGAGGACGAAGAAAAAGAGAGAGTAGGAGGACGAGAGAGGAGGAGAAGAGGAGGACGAGGAGGCCGAGGATGAAGAGGAGGATGAGGAAGACGAGCAGGGTGAGGAGGGAGACAATGCAACGTGGTTGCCCCGGTGGTTAGTACTCTGGCAGGCATGGCGGCGGCACAAGAGGACGGGGAGAAGGGCGAGGACGAGGAGGACGAACAAGAGGACGAGGACGAGGACGAAGCCGAGGGGGAAGGGGAATACGAGGCCTAGAAGCGCAGAAAGCCGAAGAGGATGAGGAGGGAAGGAGGACGAGGAGAGCGAGGAGGAAAACGAGGACGAGGAGGACGAGAACTAGGACGAGGACGAGGAGGAGGAAGAGGAGGAGGAGGAGGAGGAGAAGGAGGAGAGGAGGAGAGGAGGAGAGGAGGAGACCGAGGACGAGGAGAGGAGGAGGGAGGGGGAGGACGACGAGGAGGAAGAGGAGGACGAGGACAAGGAGAAGCAGGGCGAGGAAAGGAGGAGGACGAGGAGGAGAAGGAGGACGACGACGACGAGGACGAGGAGGAAAAGGAAGAGGAGGAGGAGGACGAGGAGGAGGAGAGGAGGAGGAGGAGGACGGGCCGAGGAGGAGGAGGAGGAGGAGGAGGAGGAGGAGGCGAGGAGGAGAAGGAGGAGGAGGAGGAGAGAGGAGGAGGAGGAGGAGGAGGAGGAGAGGAGGAGGCCGAGGGGGAGGACGACGAGGAGGGGAGGACGAGGACGAGGAGGAGGAGGAGGAGGAGGAGGGGAGGAGGAGGAGGAGGAGGATGGATTGACGGATGGGGCAGCATCAAAGAGGCCCAGGCGACCGTCTGCACGCAGGCGACCGCCACGGCCCCAGATGTCCTTCAGCTGGGTCCCGCGCCACCGCGAGCACGCCGCACAAACGCCGTGGCGACGAGGGGAGGACCCCGAAGCAGCCCAGACAGGCAAACGAGCGACCCTGGCCCACGCAAGGGCAAGCCAGGGGGGCGGAAGCCACCCCCGCGGGGACAAAAGCGGGCACCCCCCAGCAGCCGCCAGCAGCCGCCCCCACGCCCCGACGGGGGAACGCTACGGCCCCCCAAACCCACGCCGAGATGGGCCGATCAAAATTTCGAGGCGGACCCAGCAGACAGAACGAGGGCCCACCCGAGCGCTCACCTCCAGCGACTCGCCGCCCTGGCCAGCCTGGCCTTCGCGGCGAAGCAAGCCCGCTTGGCCGCCTTCGCCTGCTCCAGCTCCCTGGCCACGTAGGCGACCTGAGCCTTGAACTGCTCGCGGTCGGCGATGGCCCAAGTCTGGTACACGTGCCTCTGCAACACCGTGAGGCGCCGCCTCCCACCGACAACCGTGCGCTCGTCGAACGGGTCGTCGGGGGTGGCCTCGCAGAGGCCGTCTTGGGGCCGGCCCCGCAGGGGGCACTCCAGCACATCGACGCCCTTCGCGTCGCCCACGCCGTCGTCGATCTCGTCCGACCCCAGCGCGTGGCAATGCACGTCGGCCTCCAGCGCCGCCGCCTCCACGATGGCAGCGGTCTTAATCTGGGGATCCTCGACCTCCTCCAGCACCTCGCCGCCCCCGCCGCCGTCGACGTCCAGGGCCACCTCGCTGCTCCCACGAAGGAAGGCAGCCTCGTTTGTCATTCATCCGGCAGCGCTCGACGACTCCGAGGTCCGCAGCGGCGTGACGGGAAGAGGATGCCGCGCAAGTCGCGCAGCACGCCGCGCCACGGCCGCCGAAGGCCGAGCGTGGCTCGGGCGCCAGCTCGCCGACAGACCCGCCGAGGGACAGCGCACGGCGGGCGCTGGGCACAGAGCCGACGCCGTCCTCGAGAACGAGGGTCGCGTCCACCATCTCAAGCGCGTCGAGCGTGGCGGAGTCGGCGGCGTTGAACGAGACGCCCCCCTGGACGGAGTGGCAGTCGCACGCGCCGTCGAGGGAGGGCAGGAGTGGCTCGGCGGCAGCGGGTTGAGCGTGTGGAACAGCGCCGGCGCCGGCGCCGCCGTCCTCGTCGCCCCCGCCGCCCCACCTCCACCAGCGTGCCCCCGACGCCAAAGGTAGAGGCCTCGGCTCGGCAGCGCGCCTCACGCGCTCGGCCAGCGCGAAGACGGTGCCTGGCGGAGCGCTGCGCCCGCGGCGGCGCGCCAGGGTCCAGTGGGGCGGCGCCGCATCGGAAGCAGCGCGCGCGGACAGCGGCGGACGGGCGCCGCCGTTACCGTCGGCGGCCTCCTCGCGCTGGGCCGCTGCCCACCAGGATGAAAACCAGCTCCAGCAGGGCGGCGAAGAGGAAGGCGGGCGCCGTCGCGTACCTCAGCTCCGCCAGCGTGCCGAGGCTGACCTCCGCGTCAACCCAGCCGTGCAGACCTCTGCAGGCGACGCCTAACACCTCGCTGGATGCTGTTGAGCTCCGCCTTGCCAGCCTTCTGGATCAACGTGACGACGGTGCTGAAGACGTGCGCCGCCGTGTTGCGCCGTTGCTTGCCCAGCGTCGGCACGCAGGGAACGAGCACGCTCCCCTGCTCCGCGGCCAGGCCCGCCGCGAGGATCGGCGCTTCGAGGGCCAGCCGCCCGACCAGCTCGCCCCTCAGCTTGTCGTCTGCTTCCCCCGTCGCGTCCTTGTCCGCCAGAGCCACAGCCTGCTGGGCCGCCGCCTGATGCACCTCCAGGGTCTTCCTGAACTCCGCCTCGAGCTCCGCGACTCTGGACTTGAGCGCCCTCACGCGCTTGAGGGCGGCCGATTGGCGGCCAGCACCCGCCAGGCGCGCGGCCGCATGCCTGGCGCGCCGCGCAGGCTAAAACCACCCGCCGCCGTTGCTGGGCTGCTCCGCCGCCGCAGGGGCGGCCAGGCAGCCAAACGCAGCTATCTCCCAAGCGAGTCTCGGCGACAGAGCGCGGGGCGGACGCAGCCGAAGCAGGGCTGAGAACGGCTGAGCCAAATATGGCTACGGACGAAGAGGAGGAGGAGGAGGAGGAGGAGGAGGAGGAGGAGGAGGAGGCCGAGGAGGAGGAGGAGGAGGAGGAGGCCGAGGAGGAGGAGGAGGAGGAGGAGGCCGAGGAGGAGGAGGGGAAGACAAGGAGGAGAGCAGGACGAGGAGGTGGCACGGCGGCGCCGGGCAGGCTTCCAAGCCTGGCGCTCGGCCCTCGAGGGTCGGAGGGGGGTGGCCTGGCCCGCTGCCGGGCCTCCAGAGTTAGCTGCCCCGATATGCAACACGCAACGCGTAGTGTTTTGAGGCGGAGCTCAACACGCCGATTGAAAACGTAGGTCTGACGCGATGCGTTCGCCAAAACGTGGGCCAATACGTTCGGCCGACACGCACGTATCGGCATGGACGTTTTGAGCACGGCACGTGTTGCGTAGCAACACGGGCACATCGAGGCACCTAAGCTCCGGAGGCCACTGGGGACCTCCGGGGACCTTCACCCCAATAACTGATCGACGACTTGTTCGCAACTACATAATTCAATGACCCCCAAACCAAAGTGACTACATATTAAAGTGACTACATACTGCGCGCCGAATCGACGAAACAATACGTGAAATGATCCGTAGATCTACGGAGCATCCTACGAATGTTTGGTGGATTCGACGAAACTGAGTCTGGGTGAATAAATTCTGTAGCCGATCCCCCACTCGAGACCTCCTGGGACCTCTGAGGACCTACTGGGGACGGGACCGGGGCGGGAGCAGAACTGACCAGGGCAGGCATATCAGCAGATCCTTGACTGCAGCCAAGGGGCTGGTGAGGGGAATTAGGAGGATGAGGAAGCGTAGGAGAAGGAGGGAGGGTAGGAGAAGGAGGAACGGAACGGGGACTCCTTCTGTCACAGAGGGCCTCCGCCTCTTCACGAACAAAAAAATCCGTCTGTCACAGAGGGGCAAAATTGTCACCTAATTTCGGCTTTTGGATTACGGCCCTTTTCTGGAACACCCCGCAGGTCGTTTCATGTTGAGCGATCTTCGCCATACAACCGCGGTGTTCGTCCACGACTGGCCTGGCTCCAGCCGCGGGTGGCCTTCAGCCTTCAACGCCCGCGCCGGCGTCGCCGCCGCGTCGACGCGGCTCCTCTTCCTCCTCCGGCTCCTCTTCCTCCTCCTCCTCCTCCTCCTCCTCCTCCTCCTCCTCCTCCTCCTCTTCCCCCTCCTCCTCTTCCTCTTCCTCGTCCTCCTCTTCCTCTTCCTCGTCCTCCTCTTCCTCTTCCTCGTCCTCCTCCTCCTCCTCCTCCTCCTCCTCCTCGTCCTCCTCATCCTCCTCCAACTCCTCCTCCTCCTCCTCCTCCTCCTCCTCCTCCTCCTCCTCCTCCTTCTCTTCATCGTCCTCCTCCTCCTCCTCTCCTCTTCCTCTTCCTCGTCCTCCTCTCCTCTTCCTCGTTCCCTCTTCCTCTTCCTCGTCCTCCTCATCCCCTCCCAACTCCGACTACTCCGACTCCTGCTCAGGCTTGGCTCCGACTCCGACTCCGACTCCCTCTCCTCCTCCTCCTCCTCTTCCTCCTCCTCCTCCTCATCATCGTCCTCCTCCTCCTCCTCATCGAGACCGCCCCGCGCCCAACTTGTGCAGCTTACTCCGGGTCTTCGAGAGTAGCAAGGAGTAGTCCCTCGCGTTCCAGACCTGGCGGTTGGCGCACCCGGGGGACGGAGGGAGGCGGGAGAGCGTGGCAACCCCGAGCCACAGTGACCGGGCCCTCCTGCACTTGCGGCCTCCTCCTCCTCCTTTCTCCTTCTCCTCCCCCTTCTCCTCCTCCTCCTCCTCCTCCTCCTCCCTCCTCCTCCTCCTCCTCCTCCTCCTCCTCCTCCTCCTCCTCCTCCTCCTCCTCCTCCTCCTCTCCTCCTCCTCCTCCCCCTCCTCCTCCTCCTCCTCCTCCTCCTCCTCCTCCTCCTCCTCCTCCTCCTCCTCCTCCTTCTCCTCCTCCTCCTCCTCCTCCTCCTCCTCCTCCCCCCCGTCGCGCCCCGAGGCCGGTCGAAAGGGAGGGCGAGGCGTTTCGCCTGAGACCCCCTCACCATTTATGACCCTGAAGCTCAAACATTGATAGCAGCTTCACAGATGGAGGGCGGGGCGCTTCCAAAATGTGGCTCTCGCCGCAGAGCCGCGCATATTCGTAAAACATTTGCAAGGAGCTTCGCGGATAGAGGGCGGGTGGTTCTCAAAATGTGGCTCTCGCCTGAGCTCCGCGCACATTCGTGTTCAAAATTTGCAAGATCTTCACATCTTGAGGGCGGGTGGTTTTCAAAATGTGGCTCTCGCCTGAGCTCCGCGCACATTCCTTTTTAACAAGTTGCAAGAGTTTCACATGTTCAGGGTGGGTGGCTTTCAAAATGTGGTTCTCGCCTGAGCGCCGCGCACATGTGTGTGTCCAAGATTTGCAAGAGCTTCACGGATTGAGGGAGGGTGGTTTTCAAAATGAACCTCTCGCCTTAGCGCCGCGCACATTCTCTGCAACAGTAAAAGAGCTTCACGGATTGAGGGGGGGTGTTTTTTTTATGTGGCTCACGCCTGAGCGCCGCGGACACTCGTCCTAAACATTGCAAGGGTTGCACGGGCTCCCCTGGTCAAGACTCCAGGAATGCTTGCGTTCTGGAAAAACTCCAGATTGTGAGGGCGTAACATTTGCGTTGATTCGCGGTGTTAGTCCCAGGGATGTGTTCTGGCACGAGTCCGGATCGCCAAGACGCGACAGTCATTCTGATTTAACAAACGTGGAGTTGCAGTCCAGAGAATTGTGTTGTGGCACGCTTCAGGGTCTTCAGGCAATTCTCCCAACGAGGCAGTTCCCTCAGTGGAATGAACCCGTGTCGGGGCCTGTGTAGAGGGAGCTTGGAAGGAGGGTTTATTCCAACGTCGTTGGTGAGCCTTGGGTTTTCACTGGTCTTCCTTTTCCTCCTCCTCCTCCTCCTCCTCGTCCTCTTCCATCTCCCCCCCCCCTCTCCCCCTCCCCTCCCACTCCACCCCCCCTCCCGATTGGGGTCTCCTGGTGACCCCTGAGGCCTCTGGGGGCCGAAAGGGGGTCGAGAGCATCCACAAGCCCAGACGCCTCGAAGCTCGACCCTCGCCTCCTCCTCCTCCTCCTCCTCCCCCTCCTCCTCCTCCTCCTCCTCCTTCTCCTCCTCCTCCTCCTCCTCCTCCTCCCCCTCCTCCTTTTGAGCCCACTCTCCTTCATTGCCCTCCTCGTTCTTCTCCTCCTCCTCCACGTCCTCCTCCTACTCCTCGACCTCTTCCTCCTCCTCCTCCTCCTCCTCCGCGCTTGCCCACGCCCCTTTCTGACCGTACCGCGTGGGCAACGATACGCTGTCATTTTTGGTGGTGCATGTTTGGGTTGGACGTGCGTCACCAACAAAAGCATACGTCGCCGCGCCAGTCGCTCCGACGCGCGGCCTTGCGCCTTGAGGAGGGCGCCTCTGCCATCAGGGCAAACGCCTCCTCGGGCGCGGTGGGTTCGCCGTGGGCCTGCTGCGCGGGACGCAGGGTTTTGGGCTTGTCTTGGTGTCAGCGCCGCCCACTTGGACGCGTCGAGGACAAATGGCGCGGCGACAGATAGCACTTGTACTTCTTTCTGCGCTACAGAGCAAGAGGGGGAGGAGGAGGAAGAGGAGGAGGAGGAGGAGGAGGAGGAGGAGGAGAAGGAGAAGGAGGGGGAGGGGAGGAGGAGGAGGAGGAGGAGGAGGAAGAGGAATAGGAGGAGGAGGAGCAGGGTTCCGTAAGCCAAAAAACAGAAACCTTACAATCTCCTGGGGGGGCGATTTTTACTTCCGCCGGCTTCCGCCAGCCTGCCGCCGGCTTCCGCCAGTGGGGCCGCCCCCGTTTTACCTCCGCCGCCTTCCGCCGACCTTCCACCACCTTCCGCCGCGCAAGAAATGCCAACTCCTTCGATCCTCGGCGGTGAGGCCCGTTCTGAAACGACTTACAAGGGGAACAGACAATGACTTAAATTTACAAACTCGGAGGTCTGCGCATTTTCCTTGGATCGGCGCTTGCGGCGCCCCTAGCGCCGACCCTGGCGCGCTCCGCGCTACAGGGAGCGGGGTCCAGCGCCGATCCGAGAAATCCCGCGGACCGCCGAGCTTTTATGTTTATGCCATTACTTGTTCACTTGACTTGGCGGCGAGCCCGGGGGGAAGCGAGAAGGGACGGGCCTTCGCCGAAGGCTCATAATCACCCCGACCTTCTGAGAAGCCGTCTAAGCCTTCACCGTAGACACAGAATACTTCTCAGAAGGCTTCCCCGCCATGCTCGCTGCCGACTAGCCTGACGAGGGCATCACTGCAGGTGGGGGGGGCGGAGACAAGGGCGCACGCACGAGGGCACGCCACTCTCGCGCGGCCTCAGCGCCGATATACGAGAAATCCGCGCGGACCCCCGAGCTTTTATGTTTATGTGATTGTTTGCTCCCCTGGCCTTACGTGGGCATCCCTGCAGGTGGGTGGCGAGGCAAAACGGGTCGCACGCGCGGGCGGTGAAACGGGAAGGAGCGAAGGAAGAGAGAGACACACACAAGAGATGCCAACTCCTTGGGCCCTCGAAGGCGAGGATCCCTTGCTGGAGCACCTTGCCGTACACGTCGTTCATTCCTAGTCGTGCTCGTTTCTAATTTGCGCTCGTCTCTAATTGTTTCTGGTCCCCTAAGTGGCCAGGAAGAGGCCCAGGATAGAGCAGTCAGAAATGAAAGGATCTTGGTCCCCCCCCAAAAAAAATCAGAGAACTTACGAAGAATCAGACATGAACAGTGTGTAAGCATCCTTCTGCTGCGGTAGGCGGCGAGGCCAAGAGGGGGGGGGTCGCACGCACGTGGGGCACGCCGAGCCTGCGCGCAGGGCCGGCGCGGGCCACGCGCGCGAAACTTGCTCAAAGGAGCCCTGGGACACACAAATAGATACACAAACACAAATCCCAGGGTTCCCGATGCTCTCCCACATCTTCTGGGCTTTGTGGTCGTGCTCCCCCCCAGTGCCCGTAGTCTCCCACATTTTTTCCTGGGAGTCGACGCTTAATTGTGTCTGTGTGTGTTTGTGTGTGTGTGTGTGTCTGTGTGTGTGTGTGTCTGTGTGTGTGTGGGTGTGTGTGTGTGTCTGTGTGTGTGTGTGTCCCCTCCCGAGTGTTTGAGGTCGGCGGGCGCAGGCGAACCCGAGCAGGTGGCGGCGCCGGTCGGGCGACGGGCGGGAGGCGCCGGGAGAGCGAAAGCACTCGCGCGAGGCAGATCGCGCGGCGACGGGGGCGCTCGTGCGCGGCCCTGCGCGGGCAGCCTGCGCGCGAGCGCCAGCGAATGCGAATGCGAATGCGGCACAATCGGTCTGTCGACCGCGGGAAGAACCCTGCACCTACCCCTGCTCAGTACATCATGAGTTGTGAAACTTCTCTTTGTGGACGTAGCTATGCATTGCAACTGCGGCGGACGAGATCGTTCAACATGCTGTTCCATCGACGGCCGGCAGGCCCCATGTTTCTTGTTCTGCCTGCTCCTGCAAACGCCTGGGCTCCACACTGCGCAGCCTCAGCTGCCATGCGACTCAGAGCGTCGCCAGGCAAGCTGGGTGCACTCCACGAGCCGACCTGCGGTCATCAGGCAAACTCGTGAGCTCATGAGGCGAACCGTGGCCTGAGAGAGAGCGAGCGCGAGAAAAACTATCTACTGCCGATCAAGTGGGCGACAAAAAGAAACGTGTCTTACGCAGAATGGCGGATGGACCTTACGCGGCCGCTTACGCGGGCCGCCAGCATGGCACGCTGCATTGGAAACAAACAAAGATTATTACGCGCGACATGATGCGGGCAAGCGTACCCGCGACTGTCCGCGTAGACGACCCAGTTGTTATACTGTCGCTCAAATGAAAAAATGAGCGAGAAAGCGCGGGAAAGAGAGAGAGAGAGAAGAAACACCCAAATATCCGAAGAAAGAGAAAGCAGCCAAGCACGCCTGGTTGAAAGTGTTCCCGATAATGCCAATAGGCACGGCCATCAACATGATCCCTATAATTATCAAGACCATGACCTCCACTCCACCGCTCCTTCGGACAGCCACTTGCCCGCCTGGACGGTGGAAGGGAAGAGGTGCAGGGGAAAAAAGAGAAAGAAGCAGTGAGGGAGGAAGGGGGACATGAGCTGGGAGGAGAGGGAGGAGGGGGAGGGGGGTCCCGAGGCATGGTATGTGCGAAGGGAAAGCTGCCGCGCTGGCTTGCTCAAGGGAAAACATTCCGCAGGTTAGGGCGCCCTAATTCGTGCCCCCCCTTGTCCTCTTCTCTTTCAGACGCAGGCAGGATCGGGACAAAATCATACCAGGATGCAGAAATCTGGCGGTTCTGAGAGATGTGTTTGGCGTCGCTGCCTTCTCAGAGCTGCCTGGAATGCTCTGAAAGCGTTCCAGAAGGCTCTGGAGTGATTTGTCCCGATCCTGGGGCTGCCTGACCCCTCCTCTTCGGGTATCCTGTGGGATCGCAGGAATGCGTGCCGCTAGACCGAATCCGTGTAGCACGCCGATTCCGGACGATGGCAACGACGACCTACCCGATCCAAGCCCGAGCACGATTTCAACCAAAATTCCACCTACGGGTTTCACGACCCCTGCGGTCACAAAGTCTTGTCCTTCTGGCGCCGGCGTGACGCTGTGTCACGCCTAGCTGGAAGCACCGATCGTCGCATGCCTGCCGCTAGCGTGTCCGACAGCCGTGACGCTGAGTCACGTCTGGCTGGAAGTGCTGGTCTTCGCATGCCCACCACTACCATGTCCGACAGCGGAGACGCTGTGTTACGTCTGGCTGGAAGGCAAGACAGTCCGCACCCCGCCAGGACCGCCCACGCCAGGTTCTCTGTTGGAGGCGCGGAAAATGTGTTGAGGTCGCGTCCGCCATGCAAGCAGGTTGCAGTGGCGCAGCAAACAGCCATCACAGGCTCTCCCCGAAGGACAGCGCACCTTGCCGACGGTACAAAATTGGCACCGCGGGGTACATCCACACACACACAAACAATTGACCGGCTGGTGCGGCTTGCTTGTGGACGGACTTAGAGAGCCTGTCCTTGCGCCTCCAGAACCGTCCACCTCGAGACTTGAGGCGCCTGCTGGCCGAGGTGTTGGTTCACCACCAGCTCACAGCAAGCCACGACTCGCAGAGGCAAACAAGTCGCTCGCCTTTGAGCTGTCCAGCCTCGCAGGTGAAGATGTAAGCTTATGAGTGCATGCGTGTGTGAAAATATATAGTTTTATATTTGTATGTATATATATATATGTATATGTATATACATATATATATATGTGCATGAAAATATATACGTTTAGAACATAGAAATGTTCCCTTCTGTATGGTTTGATAATCTGGGACCCTGCGACCCCCTCCCTAAACGGGACCCCTCCGGATTGTTGGCCCGGGGGGTACCCTGGACGTCCTTGCAGACGGTCCTCTATGCTTTCTGGGGTTCCTGAAGCCCCTGCTGGGCCTCAACAAAATACCCAAATCGGTCAGGATGGCGGATGCTAAATTCTTCAGTCTTTCGGGCGTCCAGATTTAACCAAGAGGGCTTCCAAGCAGTCCAAGGGGAGCCCCAAGACGGCCCAACAGGGCCCCAAGATGACTCGAAAAGAGCCCCATGACGGCCCAAGATGGCCTCAAGACGCCTCCCGAATCATTCCAAATCGTGACACAGTCATTCAGGGAGAACGCGGTTCGACGCAGTGTGGCCTGCGGAAACCCCCAGCGGCCCTCAGAAAGAATCCAGGAGGCCCCCAGAAGGCCCCAACAAGCCCTTAAAAACCTTCGTGAGACTTACAAGAGGCTTTCCTAGGATGAGACCTCACAAAAAGAACTGAGGATGGTAGCGAATTCGCAGGGTAGGGCAAGAATGAGGACGAGGAAGAGGAACCATGAGGGAAGGATAACGAATAAAAGTATTACAACGATGAGACCAGAAAAGGCAACAAAAAGTTGTCGCTAAATGCTTAGGTTTACCTCATTGCCTTCCTGCCTGCATGCCAAAACCTGAAGGACCAAAGTGCATGGCGCGAAGCGCCAATGCAGTCTTGTATGTATGCATGTGGGTTTGTATGCATTTATGTATGTATGCGTGTATGTCTGTCTGTATGTATGTATGGATGAATGCATGTATGTATGTGTGTAGGTATGTACGTACGTATGTATGTCTATCACCGTGACGGCACGATGCAAGCGCTTGTGCAATCCAAAACCCGGATAGCGACGCAGTCCAAAGCGCTTAAAACGCCTGCAGAGGCGCTTGCAAGGACGCTCGAAAGCATGCCTGGGGAGCTTGCAGGCATCATAAAATGCGTATGGGAGACGCTTGCCAGGACGCTGGAAAGCATGCCTGGGGAGCTTGCAAGCTTCGAAAAGCAAGCTTCGAAGGAGCTTCGAGGGAGCTGCGAAGGACCTGCGGAAAGGCTTCAGGCACGCGTATTGGGTCTGTAGACGGAGAGGTACCGTCGAACGCAGCAGGACCTCCATCAAGCGTTACAGTGTAAGCTGGACTCGTGGCAATAGTAGGAGCTGCTGTAGGAATTATATGAAGAGCTGCTGTCGGAGTTCGAGTCGGAGCTGTAGTGACAACTTTGGAAGTGGCACGGAACTGCAATGGGAGTTGTATGATTATATGCTGCACACGTGGCAGTAGGAGCTCAAATTAGAACTGTACGAATGGCTGCACTAGGAACTATGTCAGGGGCCCTGGCATCAAATGCATTGAAAGCTGCGTTTGGGTCTGCACTACTGATTGTAGCTGGGACTGTACTAGGAACTTCGGCAAGAAAACACGTGATACGACTGGCTGTTCTGGGGATTACAGTAATCATACCTATACGACCACCCTTCGGGTAATAAGGAGGTTGTGTGGGGGGGAGAGGGGGGAGAACCAACATCTGACTCAATCGATCTCACTATCGATCTCACTCAACGGGACACTACGGGACACCACGGGCCACCACAGGCCACCACGGGACACCACGGAACACTTGTCGATCTCACTATCGTCGATCTCACTATCGATCTCACTCAACGGGACACCAAGGGAAACCACGGGCCACCACGGGATGCCACGGGACACCGCGGGACACCTCTCGATCGCACTATCGGTCTCACGATCGATCTCACTATCGATTTCACTCAACTGGAAACCACGGGACACCACGGGACACCTCGGGACACCATATCGATCTCACTATCGATCTCACTATCGATCTCACTCAACGGGACATCACGGGACACAACGGGACACCACGGGACACCTGTCGATCTCACTATCGATCTTACTATCGATCTCACTATCGATCTCACTTTTTGGGACACCTCGGGGCACCGCATCGATCTCAGTGTCGATCTCACTATCGATCTCACTATCGATCCCATTATCGATCTCACTCAATGGGACACCACGGGACACCACGGGTCACCACGGGACACCGCGGGACACCGCGAGCCACCGCCGGACGGGCGGGCGGGGGAGAATCATCTGCCTTGACTTCGCCCTGGCAACGGCGGACACCACGGGACACCACGGGACACCGCGGGACACCGCGAGCCACCGCCGGACGGGCGGGCGGGAGGGGGAGAATCATTTGTCTTCACTTCGCCCTAGCAACGGCGGGTTCATTCCTCTCGCGCGCCCACGCAGCTTCGCCTCGCCCGCACGCACGACACAAACGAAACGATTTCCCGATTGGGGGTCTCCGTTCCACTGCGATCTCACCCCCCAACCTTCGACTTGCCCTAGGGTCCGTAGTAGGACGTGCAACATATACTGCATCAGGAACTGTAGCACGATTGATGGTGAATGTCGAGCTGTCGGCTGTAGCAGGGGCTGGTATGGGAGCTAGAGTAATAAGTGTAAAGGGAGGTGTTGCAGGAGGCTGTCGTAGAACATGTGGTGAGAAGTGTAGGTCTGTAGCAGAAGCTGTGGAGGGAGCTGCTCTCCAGGCAGCAGCAGGAATTGCACTTGCGCTTGTGGAGTATGCAATGTAGTTCAGGGACATATACGAGGAACTGTACCCATAGCTGTGGAATGAGCTGTCCTAGGAGCTGGAACGTAAACTGTACTGCAAGCTGTGCCTCGGATTAGTCGGATGCGTAGAAGGAGCTGTCGCACAAGCTGGTGTAAGACGTGTAGTGCGAGCTGAGTGGGGGTGGGGGGGCGTACGGCTGGCTGCAGCTGGAAATGAAGTAGGACATCTTCAAGGAGCTGGTGAAATGAGCCTGTAGTAAGATCTGCAGCGAGAGCCGTACCACTGGCTACAATATCAGCAAGTGGTCAGAGATTGGCGATAGGCTCTGTAAGGGAACTGTAGCAGGAATTGTATCACTAAGTGTGATGGGGGCTGCCGTAGGAGCTGCAGTAGAAGCTGTACAACTCTCGCGGCAGAGGGAACTGTATTAAGAGCTGCGCTCGGGGTGTCGTAGGAAGTGTGCAATTAGCTGTCGCCGAAGTTGTGGTACACGTTGTACTGACAGCTGTACTGGTTGCTGCAATGAGATCTGCAGTGTGCCATGTCGTAGGCTGTACAGTAGTTGGAGCTGCATTGGGAGCTTGATTGTCGGCTGCAGTACGGTGTAATACAAGTTTTAGTGGGAACTGTAGGTTGTACGAACTGTAGCAAGGGCCGTAGAGGGGGGCTGGTGCAGGACTCAGAATGGAAGCTGTGCTACCTGCTACAGAGGAATCCCAGTGGGAGATCGAGCGGGAGCTGAAGTAGAGATGCAATGGACACTGCAGCAGGATATGTACCAATAGTTGCTGTAAGACCTATACTGAAAGTTGTGCAAGTCGCACGACTGGTTGTACTACGCATTGTCGTGGGAGCTGTTCTGCGATATGCACTGCGTACTGATCTGTATACAGAAACCGTGAAGGAGTTGTAGTAACAGCTGTGATGCTGGCTACCGTGGGAGTTACAGTGGGAGGTGTAGTGCGAGCTGTAGTAGGCCTGACATAGACAGAGTAGCAGAAACTGTATCAATAGATGTGGTCGGAGCTCGAATGGTAGCTGTGAGAGTTGTACGGCTGGTTGCAACATAGACTCGACTAGGAGCCGCAGTATGAGCTGCACTGGAAGCTGTGCTACTGGTTGTAGTATGGCCCGTGAACTGCAGGAGAAGAGTAGGACGGGGAGGAAGACGAGGAGGCCTCTTGATGCCCTCTTGAGGCTTACTGGGGGCTTCCTGGAAGCCTCTTGGCGGCCCCAGGAGGGCCTCTTAGGGGGCCTCGTGGGGTCCTCGTGAGGCCTGGATGGGGAGGGCGAAGGGGGGCATACAGATGCGTATAGATGTATACACATACAGACATGCATACATGCATATCTACATACGTACGCACGTACACACATACATACAAACGTACATCCATCCATGCATGCATACATACATACATACATACATACCTGTATGTATGCCTGTCTGCATGCATGCATGCATACACACATACGTACGTATATACATACATGCGTACGAACGTACATACATACATGCACACACATACATACATACATACGTACATACATACCTACCTACCTACCTACCTACCTACCTACATACATACATACATACATACATACATACATCCATCCATACATACATACATACATACATACACGCATGTATGCATACACACATACATACATACATCCATACATATACATATATATATGCACATACAGATACTGCGTGTTTCCGCCACCGTGACGCTGGGCGCGGAGTGGGCGTGTCCTCAGGCCCTTTGCCCTACCCCCTGAGCCTCAGCCCTCGAGCATAAGGGCTTTAAGGGGCCCAGACCTTAACTTCACAAACCTCCTCAGGCTTGCCGCGGCCCCCCTGGGCTCTGGGGCGGCTTCCCGCATGAATAAGTCGTGACCAAGAGGGCCCCGACCCGGGCAAAGAGAAACCTAAGAGGCCCTGGATACTGTCCAAGAAAGCCCCGAATCGCCGAACGAACGCTCCAAGACGCCGAAGATGTCCCCCGATCCGCCCAAGAGGCCTCCATGACGCCCCAAGAGGCATCCAAGAGGCCCCCCAACAAGCCCCCAGGAGGCCAACATCCGTGATTGTCCATATGTATTGCAAGTTGTTGGCGGTCTCGCCTTTTCGGCTTCCCGACGCTCCCAGGCGGCCCTAGAAGCCCCCACGATCGTCCCAAGACGGCCCCAAAAGGCCTGAGGGTCCCAAAACTGTCCAAGAGGGCCCCGAGACGACCCAAGAGGCGCCCGAGACGGCCCAAGAGGCCCCAAAGACGGGTCCAAGAGGGGGCCCAGATGAGGGACCCGAACGGATATTTCGAGCCCTCGGCACCGAGGAGCCCTCAGGAGGTCCAACAAGGCCCCCAAGAAGCCCCCCATGTGGCCCCAAGAGGCCCCCACGAGGCCCCAAGATGCCCCCAAGAGGCCCCCAAGAAGCTTCCAAGAGTCCCCCAAACTACCCCCAAGAGGCCCCCGACAGCGCTCCGAAGAGACCCCAAGAAGCATCCCTGAGAACTCCCCCACAACCCAGGCATCTCAATGCTCGCAGCGCTGGCCCAAATCATTATGGCCTCCTGCGCTTCACACGCAACAACATTAAACAACAAGTTGTCCGACCCAGCCCCCGCGACCGACAAAACGAAGCTCCAGCAAGCATTGCGCATCTGGAGGTCAGAATACCAGAAGTTACGAGCCACAGGCTACAGACAACAAAAGTAAAACGCGAACACACACACACACACAAACACACACACACACACAAACAAACAAACAAACAAACAAACAAACAAACAAACTGCACCACGGTCACTCACGCAACTAGTCGGTAAGCCTGAGCCTCTTCGATTCCCCTTGGAAATGGTTTCCCTGCTGAAAACGCTGTAACACGCAGTTTTGGCAAAGGACAGCCCGGCAAAGGCAAACACAACCGAAAACCATAAGTTTCTTTACTCTTGAATGTGTTGGTCAGTACGGCGATACATGCAGCTCCGTGCACGACAACGCTTAGAACGTTTCAACACATTGGCCCACCTCTTCGTATTCTGTCAGCACTTCTTGGAACCAACGGGCACAATATTGCCGAAGGGTATGTGGAGAAAGTATGCCGAATACGGCCACACGGGCAACAAGTGCCCAACAAAAGTAGGTAAAAGGGAAAGAGACCTGGAAGGCACTAAAGGAAACGGTAACACTACAAATGGTCCGGGCTAGACTGAACCCAGCGGCCCAGGCGGCAACCCCGGGGCTCCCATGCATGGGGTTTCGGGCGGTTCCTTTTCCCCTGGGTCTGGACGGGGCGCCCCGCGGGCAGCTAGAGCGTCCAAGAAGGCTTCAGCCAGAGGGCACAAACCCTTGATTTCTCTTAGGTTTGGGGGCAATTTTGACCTCCTGGGAAGGAGCGTTAATTAAGGGCGCCTACACAGCTGGGTTTGGGCACAAGGACAAGGAGCCAAATCGGAGCCAATCAACTTGGACCTGACGGGAGCGAGAGCCACATATGACCGGCCGAGCACCGTCGGATGGATTCTCGGGCGGCCAGGCTCCGCCAAGCCCAGCAGAGCATTGCTGTCGCGCCTCTCTGGCAGGAGAGCCCAGAATCGGATCGACAAGTCGCATCGGCAGTCGACATGAATCGAAATAAGTCGGAATCCGAAGCCGTCGAAGTCGAATCGAATCGGAGGAATCGAAACGAGCCCTGCTCTGGCACGATGGCCGGCGTCCTCGTACAAGGATCGGCCCTGCAGGCATACACCCTGCGAAATGCTCAAGAAATCATGGGTTAAGAAATTCATAGTCTCAGAACTTGAATAAAAACCCAACGTTTCCATTAAAATCTTAAGATTTACATTGAAACGTTAAGAATAATCGAGACTCTGGCCGAAAACTTAGGTTTTCTTAAGCATCGCCTAAGGTGTACAAGGATCGGCCCTGCAGGCATACGAACGGGAACCTTCGCTCCGCGTGTCGTGGCGGCGGCCCGGGCGACGCGCCGTGCCCCGCGATCGGGCAGCGCGTGTCGCTCTGCCTCTGCGGGGCGGGAGGCTCCTAAGGGCTCGGGGCGTTGAAGCTCGGGGACTGGGACATGTCCAAAAGCGTCCTCCCCCTCCTCCTCCTCCTCCTCCTCCTCCTCCTCCTCCTCCTCCTCCTCCTCCCCCTGCCCTTCCCTCCTCCTCCTCCTCGTCCCGCTCCTCCTCCTCCTCCTCCTCCTCCTCCTCCTCCTCCTCTCCTCCTCGCCCTTTTTGTCCCCTCTCCCCTTCCCGGGAAGCGTGTCGCGCCGAAGCGCGGTGCGCCAAAACTGGCGGCGCCCCCCCCCCCCCCCCCCCCCCCCCCTAGTCAAATTACCCGACCGCAAGCAGCACCTCGTCAAACCACGGCCCGCCCATGATCGGAGACACAGGGGTCGAGCGGCAGGCGTGTCATGGTAAGGTCCCAACTCCACGGGAGGGTTGGGAACGACCCGTTGCTGCATGTCTCTAAGGCTTCGGCTCCAGGGCCGCGCTTGAAAGGATCCTGGAGGCTTCTTGTAGCGTCTTGGGGCGCTCCTGAGGCTTCCCTGCGCCCCTCTGGAGCCCTCCCGGGCCGCCTGGACATGATTCCTGCGGGCCCCGGGGCAACCCCGAGGAGGAGGGCTTGGCAGGGTGGTGGTTTGGCGCGGGGCGGGCGGCGTGACTTTCTGTTTGTGCTGCTGCAGGTGCGCCTGGGCCCGCAGCCCGGGTCGCCCGTTACTCACAAGTATGCGGCGAGGGCTCTGGCAGCTGCGAGCAGGAGTGGGGAGGCTCTTTTCTGTTCAACCCGTTTTAAGTTCCTTAAGACCACGACTTAGCCAGGACTTTGGGGCCTGCCAAAGGAGCGAGGCGAGCTCCACTGCAGGAGGACAGGAGTGAGGAGGCGCGGGTCGCTGGGGCCGCGGGGAGCGGGCGGGCGCGGGTAAGTCGCGTGGCGGGTCGGGAGATAGGTCGACGGCAAAACGACTGGGAGAATCCGCTCCGCGGAATACCACTTCTTAAGCCACGCACTCTGAGGCGGTGTGAGACTGGGCGGCGCCCTCACGCCGACTATGCTCCCAAGCACGTCTACAAGGAGAACATTTCTCTCTCTCTCTCTCTCTCGTTCCCTCTCTCTCTCTCCCTCTGTCTGCCTCTCCCCTCTCTCTGCCTCGCTGCTTAACCGCCTCTCAGCCTCTGCCTCTGCGTCCTCCTCCTCCTCCTCCTTCTCCTCCTCCTCCTCCTCTGCCCGATCCGCTGCCCCACGATCGTGATCCCCGCTGTCGTGACGGGGGAATAGTCCCCGTAGCCAACAGTAGTGACCTTGCGCGGAACGAGGGGGGCGGCGATGGTGGGGGCGGAGAGCGACGGGATGGCGCAGGAGAGCGGAAGATGCGTGGGCGGAGAGGGCGGCGGATATGGACACGGATGCTGCGAAAAATCTTGAAATCGGGGCCGACGGCGACGTGGACGGACAAAGAAAAAAGCACTGACACACACACACACACACACACGGGCAAGGAGGCAATCAAGTCGAAAGGCCGAGACAAGGAAAGACACGGGCACAAGAAACACCGAGAGACGGACAGACCAGCAAATCTGGGGACGGGCGAACGATGAGACATGCACTCTTTCCCGGCAAGAGGACAAACGAAACACGCATTCCGCATTCACCGTCAATTGGCCGACAGCTTGAAAGATCTTCAGCGCGAACGGTGGGGCGGATAGAAAGGGATGTAAGAAGGACGGGATATGCGTTGCACTGAGGGCGATAGAACACTCAAATGTAAGGCTGTGGTTAAGGCAACAAGAGAGACCCCGAAATATGAAAAGAACCACGCACGCAGGCACTGCGAGTGCGGACGCGCACGCGCGCAGGCACTCGTGCTGCCTTTGCACATGCGTGTGCGCATGCGTGCGATGAAGAACGCACGCAAAACGATGCTGCTAGGGCCCAGGCGGTAACGAGGCAGAACCAGACCGCCCGGAAGGGCGACTCGAACAGCTCCGGCTCCTCGCTCTTACCCCCGCCGCGAGGTGCCCCTCTCTGGCTCAGCTTCTTCGGGCATGGGGCGCAGTGCTTCGGCGCGGCTGAAATTCACGGCTGGCCCTCACTGGGCTCTGGAAACGACAGGACTGTTTTTGTTACCGGTTCCGTATTGTCGTCTTTATTGCCGGTTCCAGTGCCGTGATTTCCAGTCCCGTCGCCGTTTGTTTTCTGGTTCTTGTTCCAGAGCCGTTTTCTTGCAGGCTTCCATGTTCTAAAGATACCTGTTCGGAAACCGTGGCAAAACTGCCCTGCCGCTTCTGGGGCCCACTGAGGGCTGGCCCCCCAGGACGCCCGTGTATGTGACGAGCCCTGTCTCGTCCCATTTCCCTTCAACGTGGCACACTTCGCTTCAACAGCATCCCCGCTGTCATTGCTCGTCCGCCAGCGTAGCTACTCCGCCTAGCCGCCGACGCAGAAAGAGTGTCTGTGACGAGGCGTGGCCGCCTGGGGGGGCTCAGGCCTCTGACCATATCGGCGCGCATGCGCCACGGCCGCCTTGCGGCCCGCGCGGCCTTCCACGGCGGCAGCGCCCCGCACGCGAGCTGGCTCCCTCGAGAGAAGAAAGGAGTCCAACGGGGACTCGGCCGCTGCACTCCGGCGAAGCAAAAGCCAGACCGACTGCCACCGCGCGCGAGTGCCAAAACGAGGTGCGAGATCGGTGGACACGTTGGCATGCACGACGGATCGCCTGCAACTCGCAGGTCCGTAGCTCTCTCTGCTCGGGGGACCAAAAGCAACGACAACTTTGAGGATGGGGGTGCGAAATCGGCTCCCTGGTTGAGGACGAACCTGCGACACTCCCTCCCAGCTCGCCAAGCCCCAAAAGAGACAACAGCTCCGAGCAAGGGAGTGGGGGCACATAGGTTCCCGCTCGACACGTAGCGAATGTCCAACCCCAGAAAGGACGTCTCGAGCCGGAGTGTATTTGGGAATCGAACTCTCGGGATCAGCAAGACTTATTCTAATCCAGACCCCAGAAAAGCTTCCGACATAAAAACGCAAACGCTGGCTCTGAAGTGAAATCAGCACTCTGGGCTGGGGGTGAACGGTGAAAAACTCTCGAAGCGAAGCCGCCGCCCGGCAGCCGCAATGCCGCCAGCCGTGAAGCGAGATCACCATCAGCAAGTACAGGGAACTGTGAGGATGTCTCCAGCGACTTCTCTGCCTGGCAAACTGAGCGTGGCCGAGGCTGAGCGGAGAGCACCTCTCGCCAACAGATCTGGGCGAACATCCGACGAGTCCTCCGTCATGCAGGGTCGGCGGCGAGCGAGTTGGGGAAGTGAGAAGGGGCGGGCCTTCTCATAAGGCTCGGAAGTCCCCCGGCCTTCTGAAAAGTTGCTTGAGCCTTCCCAGAAAACACCAAAATCTTGCCAGAAGGCCCGAGTGTTTCTGAGAAGCCCCGCCGCTTTCTGAGAAGGCCTTCTCCTTCTCACTGCCCCCTCTCGCTCGCCTCCGAGCAGTAACCCACTCGTCAACAGATCTGGACGAACATCCGACGAGTCCTCTGTCGTGCAGAGGGCACGTGGCCAGCGCAGCGACGGAGAACCCCACCGTAGGGTGTGAGGAGGTTGCGGGCGGGTCCTCTGCCCTGCAGGCCGGCGGCGGATGCCGAGACGGAAGCGTGTGGGGTCCCCGTACAGTTGGACTGCTGACGGAAGGAACGCGAAATACGGTGGAGGTCTCAGAGAAGGAGCCACTGGATAGGGAATCCAGGGTCTGGAAGCCCGCGGAACTCCAATCGTGGAGTGGCCATGGGTATCACCGCCGCCCTCATTCGATGAAGAATCCTCCAGGGTCTGAAGCCTCCCAGGCACATTCCTTAACGAACGCCCCCACCGCAAGGAACGAAGCTCCTTCTTGGCTCCAAAAGCGCTTGCGTGCACGAGGATGGCTAGAGGAGCAACCACAGGATCACCTAAGGAACAGCGAGCCTCTTCTCAATCCAAAGCGGTCATTAGTTCAGCGTCTGGCTGTTGAGCCAACTAGAATCAGAGACAGCAGCGTGGAATGGGGACTCCCCGCTGCAATGTCCAGGCGGAGACTCGCAGACAGCTCCTCCTCCTCCTCCTCCTCCTCCTCCTCCTCCTCCTCCTCCTCAGGATGATCAAACTTGCTAAGGCTTGTGAAGCACCGACTTCTAAGGGATTAGAGGTGTTGAGCGCGTTTCGTCGGGGGTTAGGGCCTAACCCAAGGTTGAGGGAACGTTTGGATAAGGCCATCCCTATTTCTCGACTTGATGCGACCCTCGCCAGTCCCCAAGAGGTGCAGTCTGTGTCGTCCGTCCCCAGAGGTTTCTCCTCGAGTGACGCCGCCCCACAGTATGAGCAGAGAATGGCAGCCCTTCTCGCAAGAGTCAAGGCCAAAGAAGCCAATTCTCAGTCGATGGCATAACTTTAGTAACCTTGCCAGTCCTTGGTGTGATCACCGTCCGACCTTTCTCAAGGCGCTGTCTATCTATCTACCTCCTCCTCCTCCTCTTCCCCCTCCTCCTCGTCCCCCTCATCGGCCTCCTCCAACTTCTCACCCTCCAGGCCCTCCATCTTCCCATCGTGTCATTGGATTTCCTCCTCCACCTGCCCATCCTCCTCTTCCCGCTTCCCCTCTTCCTCCTCTGCCGCTGCCTCCTCATCTTCCTCATGCTTACGCACCTCCTGCTCCTCGGGCGGTTGCGCCCGCAGGCAAAATGAAGCGTGTCGCCTGGTTGCGGCTGCGGTTGCGGTTGCGGTTGCGGTTGCGCCCGCGGGCGGGTTGAAATGTGTCGCCTAGTTGCGGCTGAGGTTGCACCCGCGGGCAGGTTGAAATGTGTTGCCTGGTTGCGACTACGGTTGCGCCCGCGGGCAGGTTGAAATGTGTCGCCTGGTTGCGGTTGTGGTTGCAGTTGCGCCTGCGCGCAAGTTGAAACGTGTCGTCACATGGCGGTTGCGGTTGCGCCCGCGGGCGGTTTGAAATGTGTCGCCTGGTTGCGAATGCGGTTGCGCCCGCGGGCAGGTTGAAATGTGTCGCCTGGTTGCGAGTACGGATGCGCCCGCGGGCAGGTTGAAATGTGTCGCCTGGTTGCGGTTGAGGGTGCGGTTGCGCCCGCGGGCGAGTTGAAACGTGTCGTCAGATTGCGGTTGCGGTTGCGCCCGCGGGCGGTTGAAATGTGTCGCCTGGTTGCGGTTGTGGTTGCAGTTGCGCCTGCGCGCAAGTTGAAACGTGTCGTCACATGGCGGTTGCGGTTGCGCCCGCGGGCGGTTTGAAATGTGTCGCCTGGTTGCGAATGCGGTTGCGCCCGCGGCCGGTTTGAAATGTCTCGTCTGGTTGCGGCTGCGGTTGCGGTTGCGGTTGCGGTTGCGACCGCGGGCGGGTTGAAATGTGTCGCCTGGTTAAGGTTGAGGTTGCACCCGCGGGCAGGTTGAAATGTGTCGTCTGGTTGCGACTACGGATGCGCCCGCGGGCAGGTTGAAATGTGTCGCCTGGTTGCGGTTGTGGTTGCAGTTGCGCCTGCGCGCAAGTTGAAACGTGTCGTCAGATTGCGGTTGCGGTTGCGCCCGCGGGCGGTTTGAAATGTGTCGCCTGGTTGCGAATGCGGTTGCGCCCGCGGGCAGGTTGAAATGTGTCGCCTGGTTGCGACTACGGATGCGCCCGCGGGCAGGTTGAAATGTGTCGCCTGGTTGCGGTTGTGGTTGCGGTTGCGCCTGCGCGCAAGTTGAAACGTGTCGCCAGATTGCGGTTGCGGTTGCGCCCGCGGGCGGTTTGAAATGTGTCGCCTGGTTGCGACTACGGATGCGCCCGCGGGCAGGTTGAAATGTGTCGCCTGGTTGCGGTTGCGGTTGCGGTTGCGCCCGCGGGCGGGTTGAAATGTGTCGCCTGGTTGCGGTTGAGGTTGCGCCCAGGCGGTTTGAAGTGTGCTGTCATAATTGCCCTTGCACTTCAGTCACTTCAGCGCAGTTTCAGTCAGCGGAAGGCACGGAATTTCACCCTGCTCCGCAGGGAAACAGACTAGCGTGGCAAGAATACTGCCCAAAACGCTCCCACCTCTTCCAAGGACGTCCCTGAAACGGCCCAAGGCACCTCCAAGACGGCCCGGAGACACCCCCAGAAGAATCCTGGGTCCGATTGGGCGGATGCGTTTCAAGACCTCTTCGGGATCCCTTCCATGGGGAACACACGGTACCGATACCGTTGCTCCCCAGACCTGTCATGGGGTGCGTTGTGACTTGGGTTTCAAGACGAATCCAACCGACGCTACGAAGCAAGGGTAGCGGTACCAGTACATGTTCCCCCTCTGATTCAAAGCTGCAACCATTCCCTCGGATCGGGCCGAAAACAGTCTACGCGATATGCACAAAAACGGCTGGTTCGGGCGACCATAGCACGAAGCCCAAATCCACAACTGAACGACACACACACGCATTGAATTGCACAATCATGTCATCCCTAGAACACCTCCCGACACTGCTACGAGGAGCCCCAGTGTAGCCCCCAACGGAGGGGGGCGCATGAGGTCCCCCAACCCACGTCGTCACACACGATTCAATTGTTTCGACCTCATACGGAGCTCCACCGAAAGCTCCTGCGGCAGGGTATCGAACGCGGCCCCCCTCTGATTTCGGCACAATACTACTACTACTACTACTACTACTACTACTACTACTACTACTACTACTACTACTACTACTACTACTACTACTACTACTACTACTACTACTACGACTACTACTACTACTACTACTACTACTACTACTACTACTACTACTACTACTACTACTACTACTACTACTACTACTACTACTACTACTACTACTACTACTACGACTACTACTACTACTACTACTACTACTACTACTACTACTACTACTACTACTACTACTACTCTACTTACTACTTACTACGACTACTACTACTACTACTACTACTACTACTACTATACTACTACTACTACTACTACTACTACTACTACACTACTTCTACTACTACTAACTA